AGAGAGAGAGAGAGAGAGAGAGAGAGAGAGAGAGAGAGAGAGAGAGATACAAATTACCCTTAATTTTTCCAAATGTTAATTGATCTTTTCTTTTTATTTATTAAAAAAAGATATTAAATATTTTAAATTCCATAATTTTAAACGTTCCATCTGATCTGGTGGAATTAATTTTTTTATAACCAAAAAATTAGAATCAAGATAATTCAAATTTTTCTAATAAATGAAAATTAGCTGTTCTTTTTACTCTCGTTGTTTAAATTCTCTAAAAATTTTTTGAACTTAAAACAAGATAAATATACATTCTGGTATTAAAAAAAGAGAAAGCAAAGATTCTAAATGTAAGCAATGCGAACAAAGCTACTTACGGATTATTTTTAATCTAACTAGTTTCTAACTAGCGGCTGACCAGTCTAACCTAACTAAGTATCTTGGCCAATTACTCAACTTACAATGACTAAAATAATTACTGTAAACTAAAGAAGGTATAATAGAAACTAGCCAGTTTTTGGTCAGTTTCTCCTAGAAGTTTTTTTTTTGCTTGAATTATTGCTCAAAGTTTTTAAAATAATATTAATTAAATCGAACTTAGAAAAATATTAAATACAAGAGCAATATTAAATATTGAGATTAAACTAAAATTGATCACCATAACCAGTTGGTCCTTCTTGTTTTCAACTGCCATAATTTGTTGTCGTTGTGCGAACATTTGCTGCTGCTGTTGTTTTTGTTGTTGCTGCATCCTTTGTTGCTGTATCTGTTGTTGTCTCATAGCTTCCTGCTGTTGCAGACGTTGTTGTTTTAATATCTGTACCGCCAACGCTTCCTGTTGTATTCTCTGCTGTTGCTTCATTTTATTTTCTTGATGAATTCGTTGGTGATGCTGGCGCAGTATTTCTTGCTGCATCGCTGAAATCACTGGTGCTGTTTTAAGAGCTGTTGCGTTCACTATGAGTTTTTGACGTTCAGGTTGCTGGGTCATCGGTCTGACCGTTCCGATAGGCAACGGCTTGAAGGGCGGTACTACTTGACGGTTATTTACTGATCCTGCACGGATGTCATCCCGATTGCTTGCCTAAAAAATTAATAACTATATATTTAGTGAAAAGTGAGAAAAAATGTTTTAAATATTATTTCTTGAGCCTAATTTGTAAACGTTAACTCTATTAATTTAAAATATACTTTAAAATATAAATTGCACTTTGTGGAAAGTTGCACATTCATTCGGGTGCTTGAAGAAATGTCAGTAAAATCACAGTCTAAACTTATACTTAACATAAACTGTGTATGTGATGTGAATGCCGCCGGAGCGACATTCACGCACCAGTTGCGACAAGGCCGATATGGGCAGTTCATGTAATTTAGATTTTCTTGTAGCGATAGAAAAACCGATCCATCTTATTCGATCTCCGACCTAAATATTTCTCTAGAGGTGAACAAAGCATCAATATATCACAGTCGCTTCAATAATTTCTTTACGTTAAATAATTTATAGTGAAAAGTAGATCTGGCGAGTAAATATGTTTCGCATACAATCACGAAGGTAATGAAAACCGGTATGATATACGTAATAACACTCTTATATAAGTGTAATTTATTTCAAAATTTTCTTTATTGTATTCGATTACGACATTTTTAATCAGATTACATCTATATAATGATTAAAATTTGTGATAAAGATTAAAATTTCTTTAAGCAAAATGTCAGCTGTGAAATAACAGATGCACTAAGTGATCTCTTCTTTGATAAAGCGGCTATACGAAATGAAAAGTTAGTAACGATATTGTAGAATATATTACTATTAGGGTACTTGAATACTATCTGGATAATCCTATGATTATCGTTGATCGTTACGTATATACCGCGAGGCGAGATCAAGAGGCTGCATCCTGAGCAGATGCAATTAGATTGCGCACTGTATAGAATGGTCAAAGCGGATTTCCAGAGGGGATATCGCCTGCATGAATAACGATCGAGTGAACGCTTTCACGTTGATCCTCGTCTGCATTGGACTTTCCATGAGTCGATTGGAGTGGTGACCGTTTACATTTAGATGCATTTATCACCATACAGGATGTTCAGTCCGAAAGTATAACGTAAGCGATCGTGTTAAGGTTAGTGTTGGTGCAGAGAGCTTCGGAGAAAGGAAAGTAGAAAATACAACAAATAAATGCGAAATAGATGATAAGCGAAAGTAAAATCGTCATCCCATTCAATTCACTTGAACGATCATGTATTTTGTTGTGCAGATATTATATACAGATAAAAATATATATATACATATACATATGTACATATGTATGTATACATACATATATGACATATATTATAATTATATAATTGGCATATTTTGACATTTTGAATACCTTACGTAATTAAACGGGCATGAAATTAGTTCCTTTGGAATTTTTTACTTACTGCATTCAAAGGAGTAAACGCAACTCCATTAATTTTGTTCGTTTGAACGCTTCTTCTTTTGCTACTTTCCAAATTGGAGAGTGATTGGCTAAAGCCTAGTTCGTCTCCTAAGGAAAATCCTGTAACCAAGCAAAATTGAATTAATTTTACTAATTAGAAGTGCAAAGTGGAATACTTAAATCTTTGAAAATATATATATAATATTGTGAGAAGAAAGAGCAATACACAGCGATTTATTTTATTTACAAAGAGGAGAAGATAGCATTATTGTAGAAAGCTTGGTATAAGTATGTTAAGAGAATAGAGACGTGTATAATAAAGCATAGATATACATGAAGTAGTCAGTCAGTACATAGAAATAGCAAATTTTCAAAACTATTTCTAATGCACCAATTTCTCTTCCTATTATTTATTTTTATGATTATATTTATGTATAATTATGTCTACATTGTAAGCAGAATTTCATCGTTCTATTTACAATGTTTTACATTCATTTTTATTTATATTAAAATTTTTTATAAACTATATATAATAGATTCTTATGAAATCTCTCTTTATTGTATCTTCATTTACACCACAATACATGTCAACCAACAGTAGCATGTACCTCAAATGAAACGCTAATAAATTAACTGAACTCGGTAGATATTGTGCAAAAAGAAATTGCGTCATTTTAACGCTTATAACCGCTCATTTTTATTGTCGACATTTGATCCTTAGTTGCATAAATTAAATAAAAATTGTCTTCGTTGCGAAAGCTCTTCCTTTACGAAGATGTATGATGAATATTTAGTTTACAACTGACCAGGCCAAGGCGATGAATAGATCATCATCCATATGCTAGTGCGTCTTTAAAAACGTGAAACCACGACATCGGTCAAAGGGTGGCATCCAACGCGAGTTACATTCGCAGGTTAAGCTATTACATGTTATGTATATATAAATCATATGTCTATATAAATCTTATTTCATAATAATCCTTTTAATAATAACGCAGTTGCAATTATTAATATTGAGACAATATTAATTTATTTGTAAATATTCTTTGCAAGTAATTTATTAAGATTATTTAATGTGGATTAAATATTGTAATTTTAATTTAAATTAATTACACGGTAAGAAATTAAATAGTAAGATATTTTCGATAATTATATATATAACAGTACAAATTAATACAAAAACGATAAAAACTGATTGTTTTACAACATCAAATAATATAAAAAATAATAAATATAGAAAGTAGAAAATTATAAATAAGATTGTAGATATTCGATTTAATTAATAATTGCTTTGACTTACTGTCAAATTATGACATGACAATTGTTATATTACTTAAATGTATTTGTCATATCCTTTCTAAAAGGAACTTTATGAAACAATCGCACGCGATTGGATGCATTTTCCGGTAGTGATGTATCTATCAGCACACACGCAAATAACGCATGGGCAAAAATTTCGTAACACTCAAGTCGCTTTATTTCATTTGTGTGAAGAAAATGTATACGCAATAAATATGTATGAACATAAATCTGTAAAAACATAATTCTTAAACTACTGACAAAAAGAAATGGTTAAAGCAGGTCACGTATAATTTAGAAATCACCACATTTGCATTTACTATGCACTGAGAATGTTTCGCAATTTATGAAAGATGGGTATTTCTTGAGCAAAGTTCGTTTCACGTTTATTTTACTTGTTATCAAGTGATACGAATCTTAATTCGTTCTTGAGAAATTTTATTGCTGTCTCTGTAAATAGAACATTAGATATATTGACAATTTAAAACTTTCGTTACAGTAAATTGAACTCCAAAACAATTTATACAATATATTAAAAGATCGAATACAATTTGTCTTTTATTAAAAAAAAAACAATCGAAAAAATACATCAAAACATAAGCATTTTCATTACTTAGCAATATAATAATATTAAATTACACTTTATATCGTTAAGTTAAATTAAATCTTAAAGGATTTAATTATACATATATAAATATATTATTATTACCTTTATTCGTTTTTACTAATGTAAATTAATTTTAATCTCAGTTCAACTTACTCTTCATCTTTATATCTAATTCTTATGGCTAGAAAAAGATGAAGAGTTAGTTGTGTGTGAACCGAGATAAAAATTATACTACATACATCGGTAGAAGCGGACATTATTGTGTTAAGTTTAAATTAATTTATTTAAAACATAATTTTAATTAAAATTTTTATAAAGTATCTCATAAAATGATTTAAATAATAAATTTATAGTTTTTACCTATGTATATATATATATATATATATATAATAGATTTTATAATTAAAAAAACGGTATTTATAATAAAATTTAATATTTTCTTAATTAGTTAAATCCCTGAAAATGATTAACAATGATTTAAAGAGGTTTGGTTTACTTCATTAGTACAAATTTAAGTCTCGGATTAGACGAGATTTGTTCAATTGAATCAGTTTATGCGATAATTATATCTTCTCAAGGTCGTTTGTTTTCTTTACAATCTCCAATGTGAAATTAATCGACCAAATCAGATTGGAGACTGATCTATCAGTAAACATGATTATTGAATTGTATTTAATTGAATTGACGATCATGATCGCTCCCATATTCAACTCACCCAGGCCGACGTAACCCTTTACACCTCCGAGATTTCTGACCCGGAAGAGACCGGACTTTTTGAAAGCGCAGTTTAGAACAAAACCGAAGTCCGATTGAAACACACACGTGCCTAGTGCCTCTCGCCACGTACATCCTGCAAGCAGAACCGGAAGAAACAAAGCCATGGATCATTTTTCTGATCCATCGAAACCGGAATGACGATCTGCATGATTCATTATGCTCCAAGATAAATAGTTTCATGAGTCTTGAAGTATCATATGTTTCAAGCTGCATGTTATATTAATGATGCCTAACAAGCTCTTACATGCATTTACATACACTTTCAATTATCGAATTTTTATTTTAATTTGTAACTTTTGTTGTTAACTATTTATAAATTAAGCAAAAGATAATAGAAGAATTTACATTCGTTAATATAAAATAAATTATGAACATTAAGTGTAAAAGAAATTTTCATTAAAAAGTTATTACATTGTATTCAGCCTTAACATTGATAAGTATAGTTTATCTATTATTATTAATTATTATAACAAAATAATGATATGATGATAATACATTTAAACATGTATGAATTTATTTTTACTTTGATATATTAAATAATAAAAATATAATATTTAAAGAATGATTGTTAAAAATGAATGTTGAATAAGGGCACATATTTGTAAATAACTTGCGTATTCTGTGCTATTGATTCTTCATCGTCTGTTAACGTCATATTTTTAAAAAAGACGTACTTTTAGGTAAAAAAAAGAGTTTAGCAATCAAATAAATTAATTAAAAGAAGATAAATATTAGTATTTTAATAGTAATCTTTAAAAAATATCTTTCCAATAAAAAAGTTTAATTTAACTAATATTGCTAATGTTTATCACATAATATTTTTTAGTTTTTAATTTTATTATATATTATGCGTATATATAATATCTATATCGATATATAATATCTAATAAATTAATAAATTAACATGCTACATATGCAAATAATAAAATAATATTAAAGATTTAATTCTGTTATAAATCGTCGATTCCTAAAAATTTAAACAATTATTTATATTTATTAACCATTACATTTATTAATATAAAAATATCAATTCTGCTGTATAAATGAAAGTAACTCTATGAAAATCTTTACTTTCTTTACCTCCTTTCTCAAAGATTATTTTAAAGAGAAATAGCCTTGTCGCTCACCATAACTATTACGATAAAAAAAAAAATAATAGTGATTTATGTCAACGTGTTTTCTCTTTGTTTAGACATATTGGCGACAATAAATGACTGTAGACGAAATGCCATTAAATTCATCAAAATGACCTTTACTTTATGGCAATAGGTTTCTATTTTTAATGATATGAACATACATTCTTTTCTCTTAATAGAATTTGTAATGAGATGATATCATGCACCACAAACATAATTAACTTCTTGTCTACACTTATTGTAATGATGATTATAGAATGACTGTACAATAATGCATCAATTATATTATCATTTAATTATATTAAAATAATCCACGCATATCAAATAAGTAGGTTTTACAAAAATTGGAACGTATTTTTGCGGGACAATCACCACAAACGTCGTGAAAGGTATTTCCGGAATTTGTTTAAGGAATATTTACCAAGTCGAAGGCGTGCCGTTGGGCCATAGCCTAGTGACCCACTTGAAACCTGACTAAACACATTGGTGTTGACCAGACACCATGTCTTACAAAACTGCTTTCTTTCCAATATCAAAATTGTGAGAATTTTCTCAAATTTCTAATTTTCGACTGATACTTTTACTATTACTATGTTTGGATATAAATATTAATCGCAATCATTTATAAATTATTTCCGATTTCAATATTGAAGTCAATATAATATTACAGTCATTCATTGCAAACAGAAAAATTTTTGTCATCAAATAATTATTTAATTATGAAAGGAAAAACATTGTAAAAATAGTAATTATCATTCTCTTCTTCCAAAAGCGTTCTTCGCAGACTGGAGAAAATCGATGGTTTAAGATCTTTTTTTTCTTAATTGAAAGCAACTGGATGGGAAATAACAAAATTTCATAAAAGAAATTATGCAAACGTTGAAGAGTACCTATTCAAATTGTCATAGCGTAAATGAACTTAATAATTGACATGATAGATTAATGATTTCTCGTAGTCTGTTGATAAACTTCCTTATTATATATAAATACAGCTAAGGGAAGCCGGAACTGTTTGGTACTGTGGTCTTACTTCGGATTTATTATACAATCGTACTGTACTGTGACGCACGAAAGTCGACGAAACGAACGGTGTTTCGTAATGTGAGAAATTATCTTTGAATAGAAATTTTACGTTCCAGTCCGATAAACGGATGTAAACCCATTTTTTAGAACACTATTAGTAATGACACATCGCGTGTGTGTCATTCATGATAGTGAAAAGCAAAAGAAATCAAAGCTGCGAAATTTCACCATGATTTGTGATAAATTAGATGCTATCCGATCATTAATTATATTCAAAATAACATTCGCAGTTAAATGAACATGTATAAGGTTTATTAATTTGTATTTATGTCCACCAATATAATATAATAAAAAATAAAGTATTGTTATATACATGCTAATTCAATTGTAATATAACAATTAGATATTTGATGGAAAAATATACAAGATACGTACATTATTCATCTTGCAACAAAAAAATAATTAATATTTCAACAAAAAATTGATGATATCAAAGAAACCCATTCTTTAATGTTATAATAATTAGATTAATTTGAAATAAATAGCCAAAATGGGGACAATGATATTTGGCGGTACAAATCTTGCACATACTTTCGCTGTTTCGCTTTTGAGGGATGTCTGATGTAACTGAGTCACGATATGATTCTCAAGAGTTATATAGGGTTCTGCGAACGATGGCGAAATTCACTTTTCTTCACTTAACCGAGATTCTCATCGTCAAACGACATAACAATCGCATATACGGGCAAAACCGTGTAATACTTTTCTAAGACTGGCCTTCACCTTGACTGCCGGCCACTCCGATAATATTACTCTATTATCTTACTTTGCGCTATAATCAAATCTCGATTCTACAAAAAAAGAAGAAAATATCAACGTGACATTAGAAACTTATGCCAATCTCTCCTCTCATAGTTAACAATTGTTGACGATAAAATAATAAACATTCTACGACCCATTAAATTATGCATAAATCATTAATCATAAAATCGTTC